CATCTTCTAATGCTTTCCCAGGCCATAGCAGAGAGCTGGATGGGAAGTGAAGCAGCCGGGATATGAACCGGTGCCCATATAGGATGCCAGTGCTTCAGGCCAGGGCTTTAACCTGCTGTACCACAGTGCCGGCCCCCTAGTGCCCAAGTTTTATAATGTGTTCTTTTTCTGGTTAACACTCATGCCTATTTATTAATAGCTGACATAGCATGAACATTTACATGTATTATCTGATTTAATTCACATATGAAGCAAGGGATATTATCTGATACTGCTTTACAGGGGAGTGTAATGTTCTTGTGAGCCCACCTATTAAATTTGGCTTTCTTGAGTCTTCTTAAGACAGAAAGGACTGTACTCGCTTGATTTCAAAGGAAGAAATGAAAGACACAGGTGTCTACTTCTAGACACCCATGAAGCTTTAGAATAAGTTGACTTTTTGTTATTTTTAAAAGATTACTTATTTATTTGAAAGGCAGAGTTATAGAGAGGCAGAGGCTGAGTCAAGGAGAGAGAGAGATCGAGATCGTCCATCTATTGGTTCACTCCCCATATGGCCACAACGGCCGGGACTGGACTAATCTGAAGCCAGGATCCAGGGGCTTCTTCTGGCTCTCCCATGTGGGTGCAGAGACCCAAGGACTTGGACCGTCTGCTGCTGCCTTCTCAGGTGCATTCACAGGGAGCTGGATGGGAAGTGGAGCATCCAGGCCTGAACCAGCGCCCATATGGGATGCCGGCACCTGCTAAATTGGCTTTAAGTACTGCTGTATTGTGTCTCAGTTCTTTCTTACAGATAACATGAGGGACTCCAAAAAAAAAACAAAGACCCCCCCCCCCGCCCCGATGTTTCTCTGCACTGGAGTGGGGTTGAACACCTTATGTTTAATTCAGAACTGGAATCATGCTGAGAGCCGAGAGACAAGTAGGACACATGACTGAGAAGGCCACACACACACATGCACACACATGCACATATGCACACACACTCGCACACACACATACACACACATGTAATTAGAAATCTGCATTCCCCTGGTTATTTGCACGGCACCTGCCCACTTGGTGGACTGAGCCTTGCTGTCCCCTGACCTTGATCTCCTTCAGACACATTGCCTCCAGGAGCGAGCCTAGTTTCGGTGCCAGAAAATAGAGACGGAATCTAAAATCCTCGTTTCGACGGGGGAAGCCTAAACAGTGCAAATCCTCCTCTTCCTTTACATTTGCTCAGAGCACTCTGCCCGGTCAGCCGGGGCCCTGCGACGTGCTGGCTCCCGGGACTAGAGAGATGTCCTGTTAGTAACGTGGAACCTGAGCTCTGGAATCCAGAAAACCACTACATGCCTTCAGAGAACAGGTGGGCAAACAGGGATTCACGCCTCTGGAAAGTGAAGAAGTTTAATTATTTTTGGGATGGCTTATGTTAATACAAATTAAAATACACTCATTTTATCTGAGAAGCAGAGATACTGAGAGAGAGAGAGAGAGAGAGAGAGAGAGAGAGAGAGAGGCCATCCACTGGTTCATTCCCTAAATTCTCAGAATAGCTGGGACTAGGCTGGACCAGAGCAAAGATCCAGGAGCCAGGAACTCAACCCTGGTTTCTCGTGTAGGTGGCGGGAACCCAACTGAGCCATCACCGCTGCTTCCCAGGGTCCACATTAACAGGAGGCTGAAGTCAGGAACCAGAGCTGGTATGGAACCTGGGAGCTCTGGTGTGGGATCTGGTGTCTTAACCAAGTGTCGAAACCACGAGGTAAACCCCCCCGACCAGTGCTTCGCAGCATCGCGCCATGTCTCGTTTGATGTGAAGAGCAGGCTCGATAATGGGCTCTTTCTGCCGTCTGAGCGTCTGTGATCTTCCCCCCAGGAAAGGCTCAGGTCTCGGTTGCCCCTGTGCCCAGCCTGTACCTAGCACTGTGTCTTGGCAGCAGGCAGACAGAGTGGCTCCCTGAACGAATGCCTGCTCTGTCTACAGCTGTGGCGGTTATCATGTAACAAATGTAACCGTTTTTGTCCTTAAGACTCTGAAGTTCTAGTGTTTGCAGAGAACCCACTCAGGGCAAATCTCTGGGTATCCCTTCAGAGTAACGTAAGGTCCAAACCATGCCTGCTCACCCACTCCCGTAGGGTCCAGTGGAGAAGCGGAAATCTAGGTTTCTTGGACACACACAGGCGAGTTTGGAAGGGAGACTCCATTCAAAATCACTGGAGGAAGGAAGGGCTGCTCCAGGGTTCTGAGTTCGTGCCTGAAGTTGTCCTTGGAAAATGTTCCTTTCATCAGCAGTGGAACCTAGGGGCTGGCGCTGTGGCGTAGTAGCTAAGCCTCCACTTGCAGTGCCGGCATCTCATATGAGCGCTGGTTCTAGTCCCAGCTGCTCCTCTTCCGATCCTGCTCTCTGCTATGACCTGGGAAAGCAGTGGAATATGGCCCGAGTTCTTGGGCCCCTGCACCCTTGTGGGAGACCCGAAGGAAGCTCTTGACTCCTGGCTTTGGATCAGCTCAGCTCCGGGCCACTGAGACCATTTGGGAAGTGAATCAGCAGATAGAAAATCTCCCTGTGCCGGCGCCGTGGCTCAATAGGCTAATCCTCCACCTTGCGGCGCCGGCACACCGGGTTCTAGTCCCGGTTGGGGCGCCGGATTCTGTCCCGGTTGCCCCTCTTCCAGGCCAGCTCTCTGCTATGGCCAGGGAGTGCAGTGGAGGATGGCCCAGGTGCTTGGGCCCTGCACCCCATGGGAGACCAGGAAAAGCACCTGGCTCCTGGCTCCTGCCAGGATCAGCGCGGTGCGCCGGCTGCAGCGGCGGCCATTGGAGGGTGAACCAACGGCAAAAGGAAGACCTTTCTCTCTCTGTCTCTCTCTCTCACTGTCCACTCTGCCTGTCAAAAAAAAAAAAAAAAAAGAAAATCTCCCTGTGTGTGTCTCTCCCTCTCTCTGTCTGTAACTATACCTCTCAAATAAATAAAGTCTTAAAAAAAATAGTGGTCCCTCTTGCAAGGATGGACATTCGATAGAAGAAAAGATGACTGAAGAAACTTGCCCTCACGTCTGAAGTATGATTCCAAGGCTGGTCCCCAGCTGACATCTGTGGAAAGGAAAAGCAAGGCATCTTCTCCCAAGATCTTGGGAAATAGAAGGAACTCCCTGTCCCCTCCTGCTTTTGTGTGTGTCTGTCCCTCCCTTGTATGTGTCTGTCCCTCCCTTGGGTGGACGAGGACGCTTCCTCTCAGAGCTGGCTGATCAGTACAGGACTGGAGCTGAAATCCAGGGCGGGGGCCGTCCCGACTACCATGGTTTCTCTTCCCTCCCTGTCTGCCACTCAGTCCCCTTTCTCCAAGACAACTCGGTAATTCATGTTCAAGTGCCAGTAGCCCGTGTGTTAGTTTGCTAGGGCTGCCCTGGGTCCTGCAGACGGGGTGACTCAGATGAAGACGTTTCTCTTCTCGAAGCTTGGGAGACCAAGACCGAGGTGTGAGTGGGGTTGAGTTCTTGTGAGGCGTCTCCCGTTGGCTTCCAGCTGGCTGTCTTCTCCCCGCGTCGTGGCGTGGCCCTCCCTCTCTGCATGGCTGTGCCCTCATATCCTCCTCTAGCAGGACACCGGTCATGTGGGATCAGGGTCCACCCAGTGACCTTGTCTTAATTAATTAGAGACCCTTTCTGCACTCACCGTCACATGCTGAGATCCTGCAGGTTAGGACTAAAGGGTCTGAATTGGGGGAGACAAGCTTCAGCCCATGACCATGATGGGCCCCTCCCATGGGTGCTTCTTAGAGATAGGAATGCTGAACTGCGAAGAGACCCCCTTGGGCAAGTGCTTCGAGCACCAGACCAATGCAGTGGGTGCTCCACTGAAGGGGATGTAGGGGGGAAGGGGACACGTGACCTGTGGGCCAAGGCCACTCTCAGCTCATGTACATTGGTTCCCAGGTCGTGTTCAGGGGCTCAGGTTATGGGAAGAAATAACTCAGACAGGCAGTGCCTGTCCATAACCTGAACTGTCATCCTGTTTCTAATGATCATGTTTTCTGGAAGAATCTGTAACTTTCACATTTACATGTAATTACCAACAGTTTTCAATTCCAGAGGTGACTCTGACACATTGTCAGGGTTGGTGTAAGATAGGGTTCCAGACCATCTATTGTTCGTTTGGGGGCTCTCTGCTTGGTGTGCAAATAATTCTCTGTCTCCTGATTGGCGTGAGGCAGTCGGCTCCTTCCCAGGAAGGCCCTTAAGCTCTGTTTACAAACCTTCTTTTTTATAACAAACCAAGACACAGAGAGCCTCCAGCTGTCCTCTGGCTGCTTCCTGTAATTAAGTAAAAGCAAGGGCAGGACACAGGGACAGTGAATGCAAGTGGTTTCCAAGCACTTCCCACAGGGAACCCCCAGGGCCAGGAGCCCCTGGGGAATGGAGGAAGCAGCCCCGTGGGTTCAGAGGAGGGGGCCTCCTGGGTTTCTCCTCTCCTGGGAGGTGTGAGGGTTACACAGTGGCTCCATTGTTCAAAAGGGAGCGAGGTGCCAAACTCCTGTCCCAAGAAAGAGTTGAATCTTTTCACTTCCTGTGCCCTCCCTCCCCCTTCTCCACTCACCTTGGCATTTGAACTTGCTGTTCAGGTCAAGCAAGTCCGTGCGGATGGCATACTATTGTATCGAGCATGTCCAACCTGTGTCGAAGAGGAGTCTGTGTAGTGACAGAAAGTTGTCTCCCCTCGTTTGTACCACCCCCAATGCCCCGGCTTTCTCAGCTCTTGAAGAAGAGCTGGGTTGAGGTTATCACCTCTGATTTATATCATACATTCTGTAGGTTGGAAAAATATTCTAAATGAGAGTCCCATTCCTAGTATCTAATCCCAACTCTTCTGCCAACCGTTGTGCCTCGTGTGAGCCGACCTGGCCCAGGCTGAGTGGCCTGCCTTCTGTAGAGCCGTCTCGGGCTCCCTCCCAGCTGTCTCTGTGTGTGTGTCTGTGTGTGTGTGTGTGATTCTCCTGAGACGGGGAGCACCAGTGAGCGGCTGACTCCGGAGCTCCGGGCTCTGTCGGCCCAACCAGGCTGCCGTGGCCTGTGGGAGGCGCTGCTGGGCTCATGCCTGCAGCCTCCTGCTGGCTCTGTCTCCTTCCCAGAGAGCCCTCTTTGGAACGAGTCTGGGCTTCACCCGAGTGCTCGAAAAAGCAGGTCACAGCCTGAGCCGGAGGGCGGGCGCAGGGAGGGGAGGCCTCCTGCGTTTGTTTGTGATCCTCAGAACCTGCCCGCTGGACTCAGGAGAACTTGGGATCTGTAAGTGAACATTCTTGTCGGGCGGCCAAACAGGACAGAGCCAGAACCTTCTGCACTTGACTTTGCCAGAGGGCGACGCTCCCCTCTGAGGCTGGGGACGCCCAGGGCCTCGCTCTCGGCTCCCAGAAGGGGCAGGTGCAGCGCACGAAGCCACAGCAGAGCCTTCTTTGTTTGTCCATAGCGCTTGGGTACCTCGGCAAGCAAGGAATCCATCCAACCTTCGCCTCCTCCTCTCCTTTCCTTCTTCCTTTTCTGTTTGCCTCCTCCAGAAGAGCGTTTGTTTTTTTCTTCCCAAAGCTCTAACACAAATGTTTCTGGTTGTTTCTACATAAGTGAGTGAAACCACAGTGGCCAAGTTCCATACCTGTTTCTTGCAACCTCTTTTCTGTAGCGTGGTGGCCGCTAGCCCCTGACATCCCACTGGTCTTTGTTGGGTCATTCATCCCTGTTTAATGCCTCTTATTCAGATAAGCTGGGAAGACAGAGGTTTGCATATCCTATATGCTCCTGCGTGCACCAGAACCGTGTTCTGTGGCCGAGAAGTTTCTTCTGTGTACATAGTCACGGCTGTCCTGCTGCTTCATAAATACCAGCGAGTACTTGTTCACGGAGGTGGAAGGGATTTTTCAGATGATTCATAACCATCTGGCGAGATAGCAGGAAACGAGATGTTTGGCAGATTTCTTTCCTCTTCGTTTTGTCAGTGAATTCTTCGTGTTTTCCTGAAGATGTGAGCCATGTGCTCTGTGGCCTCTGACCTGCAAGAGGTACTGTTTATCGTGACAATCTGGGGGTGTGCCGCAGCTGCCTCGAGCTCCAGGCTCACGAGCCACCTCTATGCCGAGCTCAGTCTCTCTCTCTCTCTTTAAAGATTTTATTTATTGGGGCCAGCCGTGTGGCACAGCAGGTTAATCCTCCACCTGCGGTGCCAGCTTCCCATAAGGGTGCCGGTTCTAGTCCTGGCTGCTCCTCTTCTGATCCAGCACTCTGCTGTGGCCTGGGAAAGCAGTAGAAGATGACCCAAGTGCTTGGGCCCCTGCACCCACTGGGAGACCAGGAACAGCCTCCTGGCTCCTGGCTTTGGATCGGCGCAGCTCCGGCCATTGCGTCCATCTGGGGTACGAACCAACGGATGGAAGACCGACCTCTCTGTCTCTCCCTCTCACTGTCTGTAATTCTGCCTCTCAAATCTTTTTTAAAAGATTTTATTTGAGTGTTAGAGTTACAGAGAGAGGGAGAAACATACAGAGAGAGATTTTCTATCTACTGGTTCACTCCCCAAATGGCCACAATGGCTGGAACTGTGACAATCTGAAGCCAGGAGCCAGGAGCTTCTTCTGGGTGCAGGGGCCCAAGGACTTGGGCCATCTTCTACTGCTTTCCCAGGCCACAGCAGAGAGCTGGATTGGAACTGCAGTAGCCAGGATTTGCACGGGTGCCGGGATAGGATGCCAGCACCACAGGCGGAGGCGTTACCTGCTAAGCCACAGCGCCGGTCCCCTGAGCTCTGTCTTGGGGCACATCCAGGATAGGCACATCCAGGCCGGGCAGTGCTCAGACTCAGGGGCGAGTGTCCCTGCTCATCAAAGCACTTTCCCAGGTAGGCGTTCTGGCCTCCTGATCATTACCCTTCAGGTGAGTCAGAGTCTTGTATTTGCAGAGCTGAAGGCCGAGGTTAGTCAGCCAGACGTGGTGACAAATTGGACACTAATAGGTACCTTGGCAAGCCACAGGGCCTTACTAATCAGCATGAAGAGAGCCTGTTTTTCTTTTCCTTCTCTTTTTAAAGATTTATTTATCTGAAAGGCAGTTACGCATGCATACACACAGAGCAGGAGAGGGAGAGAGACAGAGACAGAGACAGAGAGAGAGATCAATCTTCTATTTGCTGGTTCACTCCCCAGGTGACTGCAACAGCTGGGGCTGGGACATGCAGAGCCAGGAGCCAAAAATTCCATCTGGGTCTCCCGGGTGGGTGCTAGGGCCCAAGCACTTGGGCCATTCTCCACTGCTTTCCTGGGTACATTAGCAGGGCGCTGGATAGGAAGTGGAACAGCTGAGACTTAAACCCGCACTCACATGGGATGCCTGCATCGCAGCCTTTGACTTAACCCACTGCGCCACAATGCTGGCTCCCCTCTGCAGACCCAATTTTCAGTTACAGTTGTGCACAGGGACTCATCTGAGTTCCTGCGTTGGGGCTGAGTGTGAAGCCACATCATGGGAAGAGCCGAAGGGTTCATCCTTGGCCAGGTCGGTCCTGAAGCCCCTGGGTGTAGGTTGCCTCTTGTTATGGCTATATGGTGGGGGGGCCTGGGACCTGAACAGGGGAGATCGGGCTCACCTCTCCATCAGAGAGGTGCAGAGAAGTCTCTCAGAGGAGCCTAGAACACAGATCCCAGTGGGCTGCTCAGTGTGCTGGCATCGAACACACTTGCTCATGCCTGTATAAATCAGGAAGGAATCGGAGGCATAGGATGGAGTTCCCAGCAGTGGACAGAGTGAGCAATGGGCCCGGACACAGTTCAAGCTGCAAGGCCCTTTTTGGAGTGTGCCTGTGGCTTAGGCCCTGGGCGGGGAGGGATCAACAAGCCAGCCCAGGCGCTCTTCCCTCGGATCCTCGTGATCGTGCAGGTCAAACTCACAGCTTAAAGAAATTTGGAAATACTTGCCAAGTATGAGTTGTGTGTGTATCAAGGATGATTGTGGGGGGAAAAAGCAGTTTTTATCAGTAATTTTTTTGCCTTTATTCAAAAGTTAGTAGCAGAAAAAGGAGGGGGGGCGGCACTGAGGCACAGTGGGTTAAAGCCCTAGCTTGAAGCGCAGGCATCCCATATAGATGCTGATTCTAGTCCCAGCTGCTCCTCTTCTGATCCAGTTCTCTGCTGTGGTCTGGGATAGCAGTGGAAGATGGCTGAAGTCCTTGGGCCCCTGCACCCATGTGGGAGACCCGGAAGAAGCTCCTGGCCTTGGATCGGTGCAGCTCCAGCCATTGCGGCCATCTGGGGAGTGAACCAGCAGATGGAAGACCTCTCTCTTCCTCTCTCCCTCTCTCCCTCTCTCCCTCTCTCCCTCTCTCCCTCTCTCCCTCTCTCCCTTTCCCCCTCGATACCTATATACCTCCATATTTCTATCTCTCCGCCTATCATCTCTGTGTAACTCTGACTTTCAAATAAATAAATAAATCTTTTTTTTAATGAATGATAGGTTTGCATCAATGAACAAGTTCTCAAAGAATATTCTTTGAGAATATTCTCATCTGTATAAGAAAAACATATTCAGGGCCAGCGCTGTGGCACAGTGCTACCTACAGCACTGGCATCCCCTGTGGATGCTGGTTTGAGTCCCAGCTGTTCCAATTCTGATCCAGCTCCCTGCTCATGGCCTGGGAAAGCAGCAGAATATGGCTCAAGTCTTTGGGCCCCTGCATCCATGTGAAAGACCCGGATGAAGCTTCTGCCTTTTGGCTTCAGCCTGGCATAGCCCTGGCTGTTGTAGCCATTTGGGGAGTGAACCAGCAGATGGAAGACTGTGTGTGTATCTCCCTCTCTTTGTAACTTTATCTTCCAAATAAATAGATAAATATTTAAACAAAAAAAAAAGAGAAATTATTTTGGTACAAAAACTTTATGAAACTCATGCTTTCATGTGTGTTTACCATGAAGTTTTTGAGGAACCTTCATGTGCAGAGATTTCAAACATTTTTGCACTAAAATAAATTTATCTTTGAAGATTTATATATTTGAAAGACAGAATTACACACACACACACACACACACACAGAAAGAGAGAAAGAGAGAGAGAGAATCTTCCATCCATTGGTTCACTCCCCAGATGGCTACAACAGCCAGAGCTGGGCCAGGCAGAAGCCAGGAGCCTGGAGCTTCTTCCAGGTTTCCCATGTGAGTGCAGTGGCTTTACCCACTATGCTACAGCACCGGCCTCAAACATTTATCTTTGAATTCCTTTTTTTCCATGAAGTTTTTGAACTACTCTCAAAAGAATGTCCACCCGAAACAATAGATCCTATAACCTTCTACCCACTGCTGCCAACAAGCATGCCCCAAACCTGGGGTCTGCTCCATCCTTGGTTTAAAAGGAGTCAGTAGCTCCCCAGTGTCTATAGAGCACAGACCAAGCTCCAGCAGTCCAATGCTCTGGTTCAGTTTCCCACACACTCACCTGTCCCCACCCTAAATAGGCACACCCTAGACTCCGAGCAGCTGGCACAGTGCTCCTGGCAAAGTCATTGTCCCCTGGGCCAGCCGACGCCATAGGCTGTCTTCTGCTGATGCCCCACCCTAGCTCTACTCTTGAAATTTGACCCTCGCCTCCCTCTGGAGGCAGGAAACTCCCCCTCTGCCTTCCTCCAGTGTTACAGCAGGTCTTCCTTCTCCTTCATGGGAAGCGACTTCCAAACGTTTGTGGAAAATGAAAAGATCAGTTTATTTTGGTGCAAAAATGTTTTGGAAGTCCATGAATAGTTTTTTCGTAATAGGTGTTTAATACGAACTTTCTAAAGTCTTCTTGCGTTAGTTCTGTCCCTCTCTCTGCATTTCCCACACTCATCTGCCAGGCGTCTTCATCCAGAGACTATTGGCAGTTCATCGTTCATCCCTCACAGTCATTGGAAACTATGAGGTGGCTTCCAAAAGTTCATGGAATGAAATGTAAGTTTATTTTCATGCAAAAAATGTTTGAAATCCATATAGAATTTTTTTTCACAATGTATATTTTCCAGGAAATATTTTTAACATTCTAATTTATTTATTTATTTGAGAGGGAAGGACAGAGGGAAGGAGGAGGAGGGAAGTAGGAGGAGGAAAAGAGGAAGGGAAGAAGGGAGGGCAGGAGGGAGGGAGGGGGAGAGAGAGAGATTGATCGATCTCATCCACTCATTCATTCCCCAAATGCTTACAGCAGTGGTTATGGGCTGAGGCCAAAGCCACCAGCTGGGAACCCAACCCAGGCTTCCCATGTGCCTGGCAAGAACCCAACTACCCGAGTCGTCACTGCTGCCTCCCATGATCTGCACTGGCCAGAAGCTGGAGTCCAAAGTTAGAGGCAGACGTTGCACTCATGCGCCCAGCTATGGGATGCTGGCTTCTTAACTGGTGGCATTTTAACCACTAGGACAAATGCCTACTCCTTCCTACCATGAATTGTTTTGCAAGACTCCTCAATTAGGCACTTGATAAATGTTAAATCTTCTACTTTGCCCTATTCTAGAAATTAGCCACCCTCTGAATGTTCTGAATCCATTAGTAGGTTCATGAAATGCCTAGTGAATCCTTACTAATCTAGATAAAATTTGAAATACTAGTCTGGGGTAGAAAAACAGCTGTTCACTAGAATATTAGTTCCAAACTCTAACTTGATTGCTTCTGAGGACCAGTAGGTACTGGAGTTAGGCTGTCAGATATTGTTCCTCCCTTAACTGATCCTGGTGAATGATTCGAAATGACTCAAAGTGATTATGTCCCGATAGCCTGAGCAGTGTCTCCCTTTGCTTCAGGTTCAGTCAAATTTGTGATACGTAAGTGCTACATAAGTGTGTATCCCAGAGTATTTCCCTACCTATGAGAGCTGTTTTCTTTGTATTTTTTATTCCAGTTATACTTATGTTATTGGTTGCCTCTCACCAAATAAACTTTAGCTTGGGCTTGACTTGAGTAGAAATGAGAAGTTTTCTTATATAAAGCAAAAATATAGGGGACTATGAAAATGGGGAACTGTGGATTTCTCTCTGTTAATGCTTCGGGTGTGCCGGCAATATTGGTTTAGTTACCGATTAGTGCTTGATCGCAGACTGTTAGAAACTTGAGTAGATTGAATAAAGGTTTGCAACATGGGACCGTGTTAATCTAATTTCAGAGAATAGTGGTATATCTAATAACTGCTGTACTTAGGACATGAAATAAAATGACAGTTTAGAATTATGGTATAAATGAAGAGTTGTATTACTTATAACTGTATTTATGGTATAATTGAAGAGTTCTATTACTATTTATCTTTTTTCCCCATGGTAACTAGTAAGCAGAGTTTAGTCATTTGCAGACACTAACATGTTTGTATGAAATACAAGATAGAGGCTTGTATGTTATAAGTGTTCATACACACATAATGGATGGAAACTGACGTTGAGTGAGTGCTTACTATGTGTTAGGCAATACTATTGCAATTTTATATTTGTTAACTCATATATTCCTATGAGGTAATTTAATTCCTGTGAAATTTAGGAGGTTTTATAAAATTATCATTATTTATTTACTTGAGAGGCAGAGTTAGAGAAACATCGAAAGAGAGAGAGAGAGAGAGAGAGAGAGAGAGAATCTTTCATCCATTGGTTCACTGTCCAAATAGCTGTAAGAGTCGGAGCTGGGCCAGGACCCAGGAACCCCATCCAAGCACCCCTGAGACACCAGCATCCCATATGGGCCAGTTCCAGTCCCAGCTGCTCCACTTCACATCCAGTTCCCTGCTAAAATGCACCTGGGAAAGCAGTGGAGGATGGTCCAAATGCTTGGCCCCCTGCACCCACATGGGAGACCCAGAAGAAGTTCCTGGCTCCTGGCTTCAGCCTTGCCCTGCCCTGGCTGATGTAGCCATTTGAGCAACAAACCAACAGATGGAAGATTTCTCTCTCTATCTTTTCTTCTTTCTCTGTAACTCTGCCTTTGAAATAAACAAATCTTAAAAATATAAAAAAAAAACAGCTTCAAGAAAAATGAGTAATGAATACTATGACTGTTGTTGAGAACTATGGCCAGGATGCTCCCGGGCCCATTCCTGGGAAATGAAAGTGGAAGGAGACACCAGAGCACAGCCTTCTTGCCATCTCCTGTCTGATTAGCCTGCTCTGTTACAGTTGTGTCCGTCTGTCCCCTCTGTAGATGGAGGTTCAGGTTTCTTTCCTTTTTTAATTTTTCTTCATTATTTGAGAGGTAGAGGGATAGGGAAAGGAGGGAGAGAGAGCTTCTGTCTGTTTATTCACTGCCCAAATGTCCACAATGGCCTGGGGCTCAAGCTGGGACCAGAAACTCAGTCCAGGTCTCCCACATGGGTGACAGAGACTCCCGCTTCTTGAGCCATCAGCTGCAAACAGGAGATGGAGCCAAGCATTGAACCCAGGCGCTCTGATATGGGCATCTGGACTGGCGTACCTGTCCCCTGTTGCATACTGTCATGTGGTAGTCTGTAGCCAAGCTACAGGTGCCCATAATGGTCACCCGAGGAATGGGTGTTTGGCCTGGTGGGTAAGACACCTCCTGGGATGCCCACATCCCATATTGGCGTACCCAGGTTCCAGTCCTGACGTTGGCTTCCAGTTCGAACTTCCTGCTAATACGCATCCTGGAAATAGCCAATGAGGGCTTACATAGTTAGGTCTCTGCCACACATACGAGATTGCTTTCTGGGCTCCAGGCATTAGCCTGGCCCAGCCCTGACTGTCTCAGGCATTTGAATCAAAGAACCGGTAGGTGATAGATTTCTCTGTCTCTCTGCCCTTCAAACAAATACATTAGTTAATTAATTATCACCTAGAGATAACTCCTTATAACCTTTTATAGTCTATCCTTCAAGTGTTTTTCTTATGTATAAATATAACACTTTTAAACAAAATCAGGAACATCTGTTGTATGTTCTATTACTGAGTTGTACAATAAATGTGCCACAGATGTATTTCTATTTCAGCATCTGTTTTTCTAGATCATCATTTTTAATAACTGACAAGTACTCTATCATATAAATATCCAGTAGGATCCTTTCATATTTAACCTCATCAGAATTCTTAAGCACCATTATCTTAGATTAAATCTACATTGATTTACCGGTCCAGAGAAAAATTTATCATTACCTTTCCCCCTTACATCGTATTGTTGTTTGTGGCCATCTACCTCAACAGCCTTTGTTATTGTTTGTTGCAGTTCAACTCTATTTAGTCTAACACTTTCAATCTCAATTCCAGAGAAAGAAAAACCTCTCTTTTGTCACTTCATTGGTGTACATATGATTTAAATCAAATTACATAATTACAATGAAAGACATGAGCAGCACGAGCTTCGGGAACAAACACAACTGATTCTTGGTGAGTGTCCGGCTCAATTGGTGGGAGTGTCCGTGTGTGGGTGACGGAACAAGAACCTCCAGGCTGGGCGCACTCAGTGTGCTGGGGCGCCAGACAATAGGATTGTAGAAAAAAATAGGGAGCTGTGGTTTAGTCTTGAGGGCTATTTGGGATTTAAAGAGCAGTTCTACTATGTAGTAATTTATTTAATCAATTTACTATGTTGGACATCTAAATGTTTTTTTTCCTCCTTCATTGTTAAAAGTAATGCAGCATTAAATATCTTTGCAGATAAATCTGCATGCTTTCTTAATTATCCCCAGAATTTGAGCGGCTGGGCACAACTACACACATTTGAAAGACTTTAAATATGCATTTTCAGATTGTTTTTCAGAAAGAGCCTCCTGGATTGGGGATTTTAAAACCCAATTTAAACTAATGAGAGACCTTTTAATCAGCAGGCTAATGAGGTTACCTGCTCCATTTTTCTGTGCGGGGCAGGAATTGAAGTCTGATCCTTTTATCCTAAAACAGTGACTTCATCTCTTCCTAGATACGGCAGGAAAATGTTTCTGTGACAATAGCAACCGTTCCCACGGATGGAATTTATTTTTCATCTAGTAATTGAATCCATTTGGTTTTAGGATGTGGCTAGGAAAAATGAGCCAAAAATGCGAGATTAAGGCAACTTGATTTTTGTGCTGTGTGTATGGTTCAGCTTTGGGCCTGGCCAGTCCAGTTTCCATGGTTTGGGAGTTTGTGTTGTAGCAACAAGTTCCTTGGGTGGCAGGCTGTGAAGTGCAAGGGCCCTCCGCGAGGAACATTTTGAACTATGAGAGGAAAAGCTCCCATCAGGTGGTGTCCTGAATGGATTCTCAGGAATGCCTGTCCGACCCCAAGCTCGAGCTAAAAGTGAAACAATCATCAATTTCTCTGAAGAGTTTTTCCGTTGTTTGGAACGTCCCAGTGCGAGTATTGAACTTGCTAATGTCAACAGGGTTTGAATGGGGAATGCTGGCACAGGTGCAAGGCTGGGGCTAGTGGGAGAGCAGGAAACCGGAGCGAATGTGAAGCGAGTGCTCCGCTCTGACCTCCTCTCCTCCGGGTATTTGGGGTGGGGAGGGGGTGCATGAGGAAGCCAGCCTTGTCCCTCCCATGTGTGGGCATGGTGCGTGAGGTTTGAGAATGGATTTTAGCAAACGGGCTCTGGAGAGATAGCTGAGGGTGAAGCTGGAGCAGTTGGCCCAACAAGACCACTCATCCCTGGAGCCAAACAAACTGAGAGCCGAGGAACTGGGCCAAAATGAGGGAGTCTGAAGAACCAGGAAAGCCAGCAGGCCAGAGGGAAGAGGTCTGGGCAAGCCCGCAGGACTGCGTGGCATTGGATTTGAGGGCTTTCCGTTTACTCCTGGCAAATGTTTGTGGGCGTGAATTCTGTTCATTGAAAAAGGGTGGAGTGCATGGGCCAGTATGGCCTTGAAGAGATGTCTGCAAGTGGCAGGAGGAAGTTGGGGGTTTATCTGAACTCTACATTTTCAAAGAAAACAGGAAAGTCAGAGACTACCTCTATCTCTGGCCAGGCCTCCATTCCCAGGCCCCCCAGCTCGAGGGCAGGAAGGCCCCTGGAATCTCTCTCCAACCTCTTGCACAGATGCTTAGAAAGCTTGAAATTCCCCAGTGGAGATTTTCTGCTTGTGGGTAAGCATTTTGCAGAGTGGCGAGGACGCCTGTGTCCCTTACACAGTGCCCGGGCCCGGTTCCCGGCTCTGACTCCTGACTCCAGCCTCCTGCTAATGCAGACCTGGGTGATAACTCAGTTACTGCATTCCCTGCCACCCGCATGGGAGACCTGGAAGGTGTATCTGGCTCCCGGCTTTGGCCTGGCCCAGCCTAAGCCCAACCCTGCCTGTTGTGGGCATTTGATGAGTGAAGAGCAAATGAGAGCTCTCTCTACATAACTCTCAAATAAATAATAAAATAAATGACTGGGAGAGTATATGATTTTTTTAAGAAAATATTTATTTAGTTTTGAAAGTCAGAGTTACACAGAGAGAAGGAGAGGCAGAGAGAGAGAGAGATTGAGATCTTCCATGCGCTGGTTCACTCCCCAGTTGGCTGCAATGGCCAGAGCTGTGCCAATCTGAAGCCAGGAGCCAGGAACTTCCCCTGGATCTCCCATGAGAACTTGGAGCACCTTGTACTGCTTTCCCAGGCTGTAGCAGAGAGCTGGATCAGAAGTGGAGCAGCCAGGACTTGAACCAGCACCCATATGGGATGCCAGCACTGCAGGTAGCAGCTTTACCTGCCGTGCCACAGCACTGGCCCCAGAGTATATGATTTTTGAAAGTATTTTCAAAACAAAAGCAACAAAACAGATCTATAAAATATGTAGACATACAAGAAATAATGATACTAGCTACCCGGTTTAAGGAAAACGTTTATCATTCCCTTTGAAGTACCACGTGGGTTTTTCGTCCTTCAGAGAAAAACATTGGCCTGATTTTTGTATAAATCATTGCCTTGCTTTTCTTTGAAATTTTGCCTTTTATTTCTCTATTAAAATTGTTCCGTTTTACTTATATGGGAACTTCATAGAAATGGGATCAGACTGCATTCTGTAACTCTTGAAAGTCAATGGTATGTCTTAGGATTCATCCAGATTCTAGTGCGTATCTGGAATTCTCACCTCATTACTATATAAAACTAGATTGAGGGGCCGGCGCCATGGTCACTTGGTTAATCTTCTGCCTGTAGCACCGGCATCCCATATGGGTGCCGGGTTCTAATCCTAGTTGCTCCTCTTCCAGTCCAGCTCTCTGCTGTGGCCAGGGAGTGCAGTGGAGGATGGCCCAAGTGCTTGGGCCCTGCACCGGCGTGGGAGACCAGGAGAAGCACCTGGCTCCTGGCTTCGGATTGGCTCAGCGCCGGCAGTAGCAGCCATTTGGGGAGGGGGTGTGAACCAACGGAAGGAAGACCTTTCTCTCTGTCTCTCTCATATTCTCTATAACTACCTGTCAAAAAAAAAAAAAAGTTAAAAAAAAAAACTAGATTGAGTGACTGCCACAAATTTAAATTTTCGTTTATAATTGGTAGACTTTTGTATTGTTGCTAGAGTTGGCTATCACTGAGCAACGCTACTGTGAGTGCTTTGGTCTGGCATGTGTGTGCAGGAGTTGATCTTGGTTTATTCCTGGGAGAAAAGATAAAAAAATTACAGGGCTCATGAATCTTCAAGTTTATTAGAAAATGCTAAATTATTTTCCAAAGTGGCTGTACCCATTTAAAATTCCAGTGGCATATAAATGTTAAAATCATTAGATTCTTGTTATTTTCAGATTAAATTTTTTTTTTTTTTACTTTTCTGGCAGTCAGAGTTCTATTGCACTATAATTTTAATTTGCATTTTCTTCTAAAAATATTTATTTTTTATTTATTTGAAAGGTAGAGTTACAGAGAGAGGAAGAGAGACAGAGCAAGAGAGAAATCTTCCATGGGCTGGTTCACTCCCCAAATGGCTGCAATGGCTGGAGCTGGGCCAGATGAAGCCAGGAGCCTGGAGCTTCTTCCAAGTGTCCCACATGGGTGCAGGGGCCCAAGGACTTAAGCTGTCTTCCACTGCTTTCCCAGCCGTTAGCAAGGAGTTGGATCAGAAATGGAGCAACCAGGTCTCCAACAGGCGTCCATATGGAATGCCAGTGCTGCAGGTGGTGGCTTAGCCTGCTATGCCACGGCTCTGGCCCCTGCATTTCCCTAATACTAACAAAGTTGACATGTTCCTATTTATTGGTTTATTTTCTCTCTTGTAATATGTATGCTCAAGCTTTGATCATTTTTTTTGTATTTGTAGCCTTTGTCTGTATTCTGAATATCCAGTTTCATCGGTTGTATTTGTTTCAAGTGTCTTCTCCCAGTTGTTGCCTGTCATTCACTGTTTTATACTGTCCTTCGGCTCTCAGAAGTTCTGCATTTGATTATAGTTGATATTTACAAAGCTTCCCTTTATAGTTTTGGCTTTTAAATCTTACTTTAGAAATGTTTTGCTATATTCTGGTCTTAAATGATATTCTACTGTATGTTTTTTGTTTTTGAAAAACGTTCCTGTTTGTTTTCTCCCTTAAGTGTTCAATTTGTCTAGAGTTGACTTTTATGTAAATTGTTATGTGAAGATTCAATTTGATTTATTTTCCTTACAGATAATGAACATGTTCTAGTACGGTTTTTAAAAAGTCTGTCCTTTCTCTGCTGTTCTATAATGCTCTCTCTTTCTGCGTAAACCGTATTTGTGCTGTGTGTTCTGTTCTGGCCCTAATTACACTCTGTTTTTTACTTGACATACTATTTAATAATTCTTGACATCTCCATAAGTGAATTCCACTCTCTCCATCCCAGTTCCTCAAGATGATGCTATTTCCACATGTGTTGTAGACACAACCTGTCCAATTATATACATACCCACACAAGGGAAATACTTTTTAAATCTTGAGATTTTATTTAATTTTATTTTTGAGAGAGAGAGAGAGAGAGAGACCCTTCAGCTACTGGTTCACTTACCATCTGGGGCTCAGGCCAGGAGCTGGGAACAAATTCCAGGTTTCCTGAGAGTAGCAGGAACCCAGCCATTTGAGCCATCACCACTGCCTTCAGGGTCTGCATTCCTTGACTGAAGTCAAGGAAACTTGACTTCAGTTCCAGGTATTGAACCCAAGTCCTGTGGGGTGAGATACGGGCATTTTAACCACCGGACCGAGCACCCATACCACCTTGGGGTTTCAGATTCCATTGCATTGGACTTACAGAGTTTAGGATCTTGGTATTCTTACAGTGCTTATTTGACTAATTCACATCAGAATCTGGCTCTATATTTATTTATCTTTTAAATAGTGTTTATCATTTTCTCTATAAAGGTCTTTCTTTTTTTGTTAGATATATTACTTTATATTTCTGATGCTGTCATGAATAGCAATTTAAAAATCTCATGTTAGGGGCTGACATTGTGGCATAGAGGATGACCCTGCCTGCGATGCCAGCATCCCATATGGGGTAGGTTCAAGACCCTGTGGCTCCACTTCCAATCCAGCTCCCCACTAATGCACCTGGGAAACCAGCAGAGTGACCCAAGTTCTTGGGCCCCTGCACCCACATGGGACATGTGGAAAAAGCTGTGGGCTCCTGGCTTTAGCTTGGCCCAGCTCTGACCATTGGCCATTTAGGGAGTTAACCAGTGCATGGAGATCTGTCTCTGTCTCTCCTCTCTCAGTCTAACTCTGCCTTTTTTTTTTTTTAACATTTATTTAGCAAATATAAATTTCCAAAGTACAGCTTATGGATTACAATGGCTTTCCCCCCCATAACTTCCCTCCCACCTGCAACCCTCCCAACTCCCACTCCCTCTCCCATTCCATTCACATCAAGATTCATTTTCAATTACCTTTATATACAGAAGATTGATTTAGTATATATTAAGTAAAGATTTCAACAGTTTGCACCCACACAGAACATAAAGTGTAAAATACTGATTGAGTACAAGTTATAGCATTAATTCACATTGAACAACACATTAAGGACAGAGATCCTACATGAGGAGTAAGTGCACAGTGACTCCTGTTGTTGACTTAACAAATTGACACTCTTGCTTATGGCATCAGTAATATCCCTAGGCTCTTGTCATGAGTTGCCAAGGCTATGAAAGCCTTTTGAGTTCACCGACTTTGGTCTTACTTAGACAAGGTCACAGTCAAAGTGGAGGTTCACTCCTCCCTTCTTTGATGGCCCGTTCTTTCCACTGGGATCTCACAGAGATCTTTCATTTAGTTTTTTTTTTTTTTTTCCAGAGTGTCTTGGCTTTCCATGCCTAAAATACTCTCATTGGCTCTTCAGCCAGATCTGAATGCCTTAAGGGCTGATTCTGAGGCCAGAGTGCTATTTAGGACACCTGCCATTCTATAAGTCTGCTGTGTATCCCGCTTCCAATGTTGGATCATTCTCTCCCTTTTAAATTCTATCAGTTAGTATTAGCAGACACTAGTCTTGTTTATGTGATCCCTTTGACTCTTAGATCTATCAGTGTGATCAATTGTGACTAAAATCGATCACTTGGACTAGTGAGATGGCATTGGTACATGCCACCTTGATGGGATTGAATTGGAATCCCCTGGCACATTTCTAACTCCACCATTTGGGGCAAGTCATCTAACTCTGCCTTTCAAATGAATTTTTAAAAAATATTTTAAAAATCCCTCCTTTTAAAACTCTTTTTGTTGGTATTAAGAGATATAATTGATATTTATGTCTACAGTTTTATATCTACCAATGTATTACACATCACACTAATTCTGATGATTTGTTTGAAGATTCTTGGGACTTTCCAAGTGGTTAATAATATTAACTTCAATTAACATGAGTGTTGTTTTTCTAATGTTTTATATCTCCTTGCCCTGGCTCTATTCTCTGATAATGAGGTAAATGCATAATGTAACTTATCACATTGTATTCATTGATTTTTCAGTTTTAAATCAACTTAATAGTCTTAGGATAGACCAAGTTATTCTAACATACAATATTTCTATATGATTATATTTGATTTGCTCACATATTGTTTGGATGTTCACAAGTATGACTGATACGTGGTTTGCTTTTCTCATCCTGTCCTTGTCAGGATTGGGGAGCAAGGTAATTCTAGCTGCATTAAATGAATTGGAACATATTCCCTCTTTTCCAGTCTTATAGAATAGCTCGTGTAATTGGAATTATTTCTCTTTTGAATATTTGGTAGAATTTTCTAGTGAAGCCATCTGAGCCTAGAATTTTATTTGTGGGAAGATTTAATTTCATTAATAGTTATAGAATAAATTAATTCCCCTACTTCTCCTTAAGTCCACTTTGGTAATATGTATTTTCAGAGGAATTTGTCCATTTTTCTCATATCAATATTTATGGCTGGTTTTTATATTTGGTAAATATAAAATATTTATATATTTTTAAATCTCCATTTTGATTTCTTCTGTTAACCCAGGAGTAATTTAAAAGTATGTTTCTTAATTTCCAAACTTGAGGAAGTATTCTAATTATAATTTTATGGTTGATGTCAAACTTAATTGCCTTGTTAGACAACGTGAGATGTGCTTTATGGTTCACTTAACTCAATCAATTACCATAAATGCTTCATTTGTATTTTAACAGTATTTCAATGATTGTTTTTCTACTTTGTCCAAGTTGTAAAATGTGGGGCATAATGTTCACTGTTTATAGTATTTACTTATTGAACTTTCAACCAAAAGACTTTGAATGCTTTTAATATAATCTATATTTTAAGTGTTCTGGAATTTAAGATGTTCAATTTGTAAACCTTTTAAAGCTTATTTGTATGGGAATTCTTTGGATACTTGAGTCTTTAGTAGTACTGGAACATTCTCAGCTAGTTATTCTTTAAAATTGTCCCCCCCCCCCCCCCCCGCATTATCTCTTCTCTCATCTTTGTCCTCAAGGGCACCATGTGGATTTATGCTAACACTGCCTTAGTCTATCTCCCACAGTGGTCGACTTCTGTTTTGAAGTTTCTTTGTATTTGTTTCCATGAGTTGTATTCTGGATAATTTCTTCAGATCTCTCTTCCAGCTTACTAATTCCCTTTTTAGTTCTGTCAGAGCAACTGTATTCAGATAGGCTGTTATTTCTATAGTCTCTTGCCTTTTACTCAAATTTCCATACTTTTATAACTTTTTCTCTGTAATCCTCCTGTTATCTCTTATTACTGTTTTCAATATTATCTTTTATTTCTATTGTGCATCCAATAATTTCAATATCTACATATTGTGTATATCTGACTTGAGTCCTTTATTTCCTGAATTGCTCTTTTGAACATATACTTATATATTTTAAAGACAGAGTGATAGAGATAGAGGGAGAGATGGAGTGTGTTGGGGGAGGGAGAAAGAGAGAGAGAGAGAGAGAGAGAGAGAGAGAGAGAATGAGAATCTGCCGATTCACACCCCCAAATGCCCACAATAGCAGGGCTGGAGCAGATAGAAGCCAGGAGCCAGGGGCTCCATCCCGGTCTCCCATGTGGGTGGCAAGGACTAGCTACTTGGTCCATCACCTTCTCCCTAGGTGCATTAACAGGGAACTGGGTTGGAAGTGCATAGTGGCCAGGACTGGAACCTGGCACTCCTACACGGGAGGTGATGTGGGCGTCCTCTGTGGCAACTTAGCCCACTGTGCCACATGCCTGCCCCATTTCCTGGCTTTCTTTAATGGACGCTTGTTTTCTGGCATTTTGGGAATTTTTAATATGGTCTCACATTTTGAAATCCTTATCTTTAACGTCTTTTGTGCACATGAATAAAAAATGATTTCTAGAGAGGACTTTGCTGGCTTCTGCCAGGTTTCTGGGCCACAACCAACCCCCACAACCTTTAAATGACATGTTCACCTTGAGGGTTTTTGGTTGCCTAGGTAGCGTGAAGCCACAAGAAATCTGGTGGCGGTGAAGAATGCTCAAGGGAGGATTTTTCTCCCCACCACCATCCTCACAGTTTGGGAGAGGCACTTTCCCTTACCTTTCATAAGGATGGAGGCAGGTATATTTCTAATCCAAACCTTGACTAAGCCCTTGGAAGCTTTTATGGAGACCTCATGGGAGCCCTCCCACCCTCTGTGTGGGGGACTTTGTTCTTTGTCCCTGCGTCCTTTGTGGCATGAAAACAAATATTCATTCCACCTGGGTTGCAAATCTCTTAGCACGAAGCCTGACCCACGGCCCTGTTCGCCCTTCTGGCTTCTTGGTTTCAATTAGGTTTTGCACCCTCAGAAACTGTCTTTTTGGAAAGCTGTCAGTGGACTACACAGAGGCTAAAAAGCATTGCATTCAGGATTTGTGGTTGCTTGCAGAGGTAGACTTGCCCAGGGTCTCTAGTGCACCACATTATGCAAATTGGGTATCAACCTCACTCCTTTAACTTGGCTTTGACCCTTGTTAAAATGCAGATGCCTACGCTTCAGATAGTGGGGGCAGCTGCCAAGGCATTCTTTGCACAGTGCGTCTTAAGACCACCTCCATACAAGTCTTGCTGGCTCGCCTGCTAAAATGCTCTTCTTGCATCACCTCCCGGGCTTCCTGAAGATACATCTTTGGGTGAAAGGAAGACCGTTTATTAAGTGTTCCAATGGACAATGACTTCGTAAAGCTGCTCTCTGTATGCTTTTGTACATATTAGTTTCAGATTCTTTTCTGAAACAAATTTTCATAACAACAAGCTGGAATACCAGGTATTTAGAGGCACATGGCTAATAGTAGCTTGGAAAAAAGGCATCTTTTCCCTGTAAAGAGTCTGGCTTTCTCTGATTGCATTTTCCTGACCACTGGGGATGCTGCCTCCCATGTCACCTTTATCTATAGGTGATTTACTCTCAAAGCCAGTTACTGAATTCTCATGTCAAAGGGTTTGTGCAGGAGGTTCAGTGTTCAGTCAGCCCCGTGGAGAAGACATGGACACTCAAAAAGATTTGTTTCTTTTTTTTAGAAAGACCTTTTCTAAGACTATGTTTAAGCATAACTGCAATTATTCTCTTAAGAAGGTGTTTTGAGATGGGTTTACTGGGTTGCAAAGTATGTGTTGTAAGACTCCCATCCCTTAATTGCTTTATTATCTTGGTTGTTGTCTTTAAGTCTATGCTCGAGGTTAGACATGTGTAGTTCAGAAAGATCTCAGAAGAAATTAAAGTGATCCCAACCCACCACCCAGAGAAAACCATGGTCAAATATATTCAGTATTATAGATCCTGACAGACTTTTTCTTATGCATAAACACTTGTTTTATTTTTCATAACAGGATTGTTTTGTGCATGCTCCTTCGTAATCTGATTGTTCATCAACTTACATAGTGGCTGTCTTTCTGTGTTTATAGATGTGAAATTTAGGAGACGGAAGGATGTTTTATTGGAACGTGTGACCTGTAGAGTCTGCACTGTGGGGGGAGAGGACTTTTTCATTGTGGCTGAGGACAGAACACATTTCTGTACATGCTAAGAGCAATGGGCATCCTCAACATGAAGGTACAATATTTTAAATGAACTTTATTACTATACGATTTAAATACTCCATATTGCTTTTCTGGCTTCTGACCTGTCAGGAACTAAAAACTAATCTGCTAAATTCTTCACCAGCAAAGTGCACCTGTGGTCTCTTTTCCTTCCCTTCTGCTCAGCACTTTCCAGTCTGCCGTAATTCATTTCCTTCAGTGTTTTCTGTTTAATGTCAATCGCCTTGATACCTTTCATGTGATGCTAACATAATGCCACCCTGCTTTCTTTTCTTGTGTGTATATTTTGATATGTCTTCAACCAGCTTTGTATTTTTCACTGTTCTGTGTTACATTGTTTTTTGTTCCAGTCTGTCTCCTAGTTATCGTATAAGGATTTTGTTGACATTTTCTTTGGCTATACCAGAAGTCTGTGGAATTAATAGGATGAGATCAGCCTCTGTTTTGCCACCTATAAGCAAATTGGTTTTGTTCCTGGGTGCAGAGTTTCCCTTATTGTTAGGTGTGGCTGTGTGACTTCCTTCTGGCTAGCAGAGTATGGTGAAAGTGAGGTAGTGTGCTCATGTCCCAGGCATAATCCCTTGGCTCTCGCTGGTCTGCATGCCAGTGCCCAGGACAGCCTTGTAAGCCACAAGTTGAGTTCCTTTGAGTCCCAGTCTCTGATTAACTGCATGGAGCAGATGTCCTCTATTGCTGATTGGTCTACGTCGGAGGGGGGAGCAAACCTGTTACGTGAAGGTGCTCAGCTGCTAACGTCACAGCAGCTCATGTGAATGAATGCAAGAAATGGGAGGGCAATTGGGTGCTATAGTAACACAAAGCTAAACTCTACTACACTTAGGAGTAGGCAGCCAGGAAACCGATATTAAAGGTTAGAGCGATGGAGACCTATGGTGAGCATTAGTAAAATGTTTGGGGAAAATGCATTTCCGTGGAACTGGTACAAGTTGCTAGTGCTGCTCACAAATGCTTCCCCCCAGGAACGTGGTAGGATGGTACTTTGATGCCCTTCTGAAATTAACCACGACCACATGATTGGCCTTGGCCAATGAGATGAGCGAAAAGGGTAGCGCCTCACCGGCAACCTATTTCCTTGATTGTGCACCAGAGCCATGGCTGCAGGAAGGAGCTGGGTGCTGCTCGCTCCAGGCCTGCCATGGTGGGGCTCCCTCTCCCGTGCAGGGAACTCTCCCTGAAGCTGGTCTCTTTGTCCTCACGGGAACTGAGTTCCCAAGATGGCTCAGCCCCCCTCATTTCTGGCTGCTCCACCTCACCCTTTAAGGGACACCTCTCCCAGGGTTAAGGTCCTCTGTCCCAGACCCGTGTAGATACCTCTCCTCTGACCATGAGCCTTCAGGAGGTTCTCTGGCCAGTTCTCGCCATCTCGCTGATTCTGCGCACACCACTTTTTCTTTTCCACCAGCAGTGGGGCCGCCTGCTTCACCACTTCCTGTTTATCTAGCTTTGGCCCTGCTTGGTCATTCTTCCCGTCCCTGGAGGACTGGGGTGTTCCTCCAGGGGAAAATGCACTTAGCCCTGTCCTGGAGCTTGACATAGGAAGATTTACAGAATAAAATGGATAATCATTGGCCAGCGCTGTGGCTCACTAGGCTAATCCTCCGCCTGCGGCACCGGCACATGGGATTCTAGTCCCAGTTGGGGCGCCGGATTCTGTCCCGGTTGCTCCTCTTCCAATCCAGCTCTCTGCTGTGGCCAGGGAGTGCAGTGGAGTATGGCCTAAGTGCTTGGGCCCTGCACCCCATGGGAGACCAGGAGAAGCACCTGGCTCCTGGCTTCAGATCAGCGTGGTGCGCTGGCTGCAGCGCGCCGGCCACAGCAGCCATTGAGGGGTGAACCAACGGCAAAGAAAAACCTTTCTCTCTCTGTCTCTCTCACTGTCCACTCTGCCTGTCAAAAAAAATTTAAAAAAATAAAAAAATGGATAATCATTGAGCACAGACTACTTCCAGCTAGTCACTTGTGAACCAGTGGGTGGAGGAGAGCGCTACACTAGCATCCTGCCTGTATCGCTAACTGCTATATCATACAATTTAGACAGTGTCCAATCTGGGCACTACTGGATTAGGTGGGAGCTGCGGGGTTCTGGGTTGTTACAAGGTGTGTAAGCCTTGGTGAAAGACTGAAGGAAGAGACCACTGCATTCTCTTCCTCATCTTGGGAGGTGCGAAAGAACAATAGTTAAAGGCCAAGTGCAAGGTGAAAACCACTGACTGGCCTTGAGAAGAAATGTGGAAGTGGACAATCGTGGGTAGCAGAATGTAGCCTCAAATGCACCACCCGGGTCTCCCTGTGGATACAGACAAACCAAGCATTCAGTGGGGTTGCTTCTTGAGTTCCTATGAAAAATTACCAAGAACATAAATGAATGGAAAACGTGGCAAAAATCCAAGGCTGAAATTCACCTCCTTGACCTGCACTGCAGGAGTGGGGAGAACCTCAGGCTGCAGTGGCCTGGTGTGCACCGGGGGGGGGGGGTTAGCTGCAAGGGGAGGCACCCAGTGTTGTCAGCCTCCTGTGATACCTAATAGCTCCCCAGGAACGGCCTCCCTCAAGGCATGAGTGACTTGAACCATAGCTTCGCACCGCTGCTGTCTCAAACTGTGTCCCAAACAGAAGTTTTCCTTGTCAGCTGTTGCCCACGGAAGCGTCTGCGTGCATGGTGTGTGTCTGCTGGGAAAAGAAAGTGCTTCCAAGAGCAGAAAGAAATGTCTGGCGCCCTCCTGGGCGAACAGTAGGCCAGCAGTTCCTGGGAACACACGGTGCCCTTTGACCCAGCAGGACTAGCTAGCAGGAAATGGGGAATTTGGCTGGGGATCCTCACCTTTAGGGCCACGTGTGTCCGCTTCAGCCTGGACGGTGTTGACCCCCCAGCCCCTTCCTCCTGGTTCCATCCTTTGAGCTTGCTGGCGCCAGGCGGTGCTGCCCACACTCTGGTGCCCTAGACGTGACCCTCGGTGAGCCGGATGCTGCTGTCCGAGCTCGCTCGCTCTCTCCCTGCTCTGGTGGTCCCCATCCTGGAACTCTTCCCCTGGACTCCATGCCTGGTTTCTGTGCAGTTGCGGGGTCTTCTGCGTTCGTGTATCCTGCATCCCGGCCCTCAGCAGTCCGCACAGATGCGCTGCGTGCCTCCGCCGGGCGAGCCTCCCTGCTCCGCTCAGGGCCTCCCACAGCTGTCGCCAGCCAGTGCCCTGATCTCTTATGGGTGCAGCTGTCCAAAGTAGGCCCCAGACTCACCTGCCTGTTGCTGACACCCTGCCCCACGCTGCCATTACCTGCTTTCGGGCGGGAGCTGCCTCTCCCTCCGTGGTGCCCTCCCCCCATCCTTCCCCAGCCACATCCTATGCAGGGCTGTGACCTCCTCCTCCTGTCCAGCCTCCGCTGAGTGGCCCCTGCGTGGGGGATCTTCCCCAGAGCTCCATCTCCAAGCAGCTCCCTCCTGTTTCCCGTCCTCTCTCCTGCTGCCCTACGAATGTCCCGCGCAGTACTCACTACCCCGTGGTGACGCTGGACCCTAGCTAGCCTCATCTCCTGACTAGGGCGTGAGCTCCGTCGGGCAGGCACTAAGGCTGTTCTTGTTGGGCCTGAGTACTGAGTGCTGTGCTGGGTCCGTGGCAAGGAGCAGTGGTGGTTGGCGATGGGATGAGTTTTCCTGCCACTCAGTTCCTGAATGCAGTCACTTGGGCTTTCTGCCCTCTCTGGTTCATAAATCCAGTCTCAAGCCTAAGATAAGCCTTGCATAAAGCAGCCCTCATTTCTGGATTGTCACAAAAGCTTCCTAGCGAGGGTCCCATTTTGTCTTCCCCTCTGCTTTCCTTGTCACCATCACAGCTTGATGCCTTTTCTTGGTTACCATGACAGTGGCTTTTCTTTTAATTTTTTTTAATTTATTTATTTTTTATTTTTTGACAGGCAGAGTGGATATTGAGAGAGAGACAGAAAGGTCTTCCTTTGCCATTGGTTCACCCTCCAATGGCCGCCGCGGCTGGCGCACTGCGGCCTGCGCACCACGCTGATCCGAAGGCAGGAGCCAGGTGCTTCTCCTGGTTTCCCATGGGGTGCAGGGCCCAAGGACTTGGGCCATCCTCCACTGCATTCCCGGGCCATCGCAGAGAGCTGGCCTGGAAGAGGGGCAACCGGGACAGAATCCGGTGCCCTGACCGGGACTAGAACCCGGTGTGCCGGCGCCGCTAGGTGGAGGATTAGCCTATTGAGCCGCGGCACCGGCCGACAGTGGCTTTTCAAACTCCAGAACCTTCTGCTTGGGTCTTAGTTTGGCATTGAAGATTGCTTTATCTTGTTCCCACCCAGTTCCCCTCCCACATCCCCGCCTGGTCACACTGAGACTCGGCCATGGGATCCGCACCCTCTGGACACCTCTGGCCTGTGTGTCCCTCACCATCCTCTGTGCAGCAGCCCTGTCCATCCACAAGGTCCCCTCCTGCCCCCTGGCTAGAATTAGCCCTGCTCTTAGAGTGCTCTGGTTTTCCCTCCAGTCTTTAATACTGTGGTTCTTTGTATACAAGGGGGCTTCACACAGCCCGTTGAAAATGCACATTACCTGTGAGTTCTGTTTTCCATGAATCTTCTCCCTTGTACGTGCTGTTTTCCTAAGTGAACTGCAGACTCCTCCCCTCCGAGGAATTTATACTTTTGGCACTTAGTGTCTAGAAAATCTGAATTCAGTAGTTCAATCTTAAAAAAATACTGAATTCAATCATGGGCCTTGGGACGCCTGCATCACTCGTTGGAGTGCCTGGCTTCCAGTTCCAGCTCTGCTCCCAATTCCAGCTTCCTGCTAATGCGCACCCTGGGAGGCAGCAGGTGGTGCCGCAAGTAGGTGGGTCTCTGTGACTCATATGGGAGATGCAGGTGGGTTCTTGGCTCCTGGCTTCAGCCTGGCCCAGCCCTGGCTGTGTTGGGGGGCATTTGGGGGAATAAACCAGCAGATGGGTAATATTTCTTTCATAATTCATTTTTTTTTTTTGACAGGCA